CTTTTTTTTTTTTTTTTTCCTGCGGGGCTGTGTCTGTGGGATTTGGAAAGTTAGACGAGGGCCCGGAGGAGGATGGAAAAGCAGCTCTCCACCATCTTCCCGGTCTCTCCTTTCCTTTTCTATTTTTCTTTTTTTTTTTTTTTTTTTTTTTTTTTTTTTTCTGTCACTGCGGCTCTAAAGGCACACCTATCCTGATCCGTGTCAAGTACTACATAACTAGGGAGTACATCGTATGTGTTTGTCTTCTGCTTCTGATGTTGAATATTCCCATGTAACTACTGTTTCCACATATTATTTCTTCACAGATATTTTAAAGGTTTATTTTCTATTTCTGTGTGTGCTTGTACTCACATGTGTGTGTGTATGTGTTGTGATTGTGTGTGTATGTGTTGTAAGTGTATGTAGTGCCTGTGGATGTCAGAAGACGGCACTGGATCTCCTGGAGCTGGAGTTATGTATGGGTAGTTGTGAGCTGCTCGACATGGAGGCTGGGATCCAAAGTCAGTCCTTGGAAGCTCAGCAAGTGCCCTCAGCCACTCAGCTACCCCTCCAGTTCCCATCGCGATCTTTTAAATGCTGCAGGAAATTGCCTCCCTAGACACTCTGATGCCGGCCCCCTGTGATGCTCGCGCCCTTTAGCAGTGCTCCACTCTAAGGACCATGGCCTACATTGTACAAAACTGCACCAACTCCTCCAGATTTCATCAGGATAAATGTCTAAAGGTAGGATTATCTTGTCTGAAGGTCTGCACTTATCACTGTTAGTCAGAGCTCGGGTCTTTGAAAGCCAGACTTGGCCTGAGGGTTTTGACCTCCTCTTAGATACCTCTGGTATCACTCTCAATCGTCTCTCCAGCCCGAAGTTCGACACAGGCTTGGAGTCTCCGATGATGAGTTAGAGGCCCCTCACTGTTACCCTCCATGTTTGTTCTCACAGAAGCACCTCAAGCCACACTTTTGTGGGTTTGATGAGGCACAGAAATAATTGGCTCAGTGGGAAGAAACTGTGCCAAAACCCACATCTTTATGCACAGGGTGAGCAGGCGCCCAGTACTCACTTGATAAGTAGCGATCATTTCTCTGTCCAGGCTCCGTGTCACAGAGACGCTGCCTGTGTTCTCATTGATTCTGAAAATTCCTTTAGGTTCTTGATCCACTCCCTTGCCAGTGAGCCGGAACTTGGACCCTTCAGGTCTGTCACTATCGACTACCTGGATGGAGAAACAGAGTGACTTTTAAGACTATCTCAAAGACATAGAGAAAGCGCATCGCAGACACCCCCTTGGTGACCAATCCACTAATCTCAGGTGCCGGCACAAAGCTGCCTGATAACACAAGATTGGCCAAAAGCAACCTTGCCCAAAATAGTGGCATCATTGTTTGGCATTCATTGTTCTTACAAATGGTTGTGGTTTGCAGCTGCAGAAGTTTAGCACTGCCTAGGAGGCCAGGGTTGATGGCGCAAGTCGGGGCATGAAGCTAGGAAGCACACACTGGGAACTTGTGTTATTTTTAACGGAGGAAGGAGATTTGGTTTTCTCTGCCAACAAGGCTAAGTGTCAGTAGAAGCCATTTATTCACCAGTCCCACACTGGGCAGGCAGGCACTGGACAGAGTTTACTTCTTTGTTGCTAGTAACCCCTGCCCCACTGCTTCCCTGGGTGCCATGCTTCTGCTGAGAGAGTTTCTGGTGCTTGTTGTCTTTATACTCGAGTAGAATATGGCCTTTTCTATTGAATGGCCAGAACCAGCAGAGGTACAGTATTAAGCAAGCTGGCTGTGGTCGCTGCTCTTAAATAGATGAAAATGAGATCCAAAGCCATATCTTCCCCATCCGCAGATACCACTGTGCAACACCGCCCTTTATGACTGTTGACCTCGGTTTGACATCTGAAGACTAATCGCAAAAGTTAAAGATGGTGGGTGGCATTTCTGAGCATAAGGAAGAGTAAAGACAGAAGCAGCTGGCAGGGGTGGGAACACCCAGAAAATTCCAGAAATGGAGAGCCATGAGCACACTCTGAGCAGAGGAGAGTTGGCAGAAGGTCAGGGTAAAAGTGGGGTCTTTTATGGCATGTGAAGTTGTGCAGTTAAGGAGATCCTGGAACAAGCAAGTTCCGAGTCACACTTAGGTATGTATCCTATTCTTCCCTGTCTCATGTTACCGTGTTATCAGAGCTGCCAATGTTAATTTGGTTATAACAACACAGTTTAAAGGCCACGAATGTATTAGATAATGGGGAGGCACAGATAAAAGAGGGATAGTGTGCAGCCAGCTGTAATTACTTCACAAGCGAACAGGTGTCTAGTTACGTCAGCACGCTCCGGGGCAGCCATGCAAGTACCAAGCCTGCAATTCTGCGCTCAGGCACCAGGTGGCAGTGGTGCCTAAGGCAGCGTGAGCATCATGGCGGGTTACTAGGCAGGGCCAGTTGAGGCACATCAAGACAATTCCCTAAGACAGGTTTTGTTGCTTTTCATCTTTATTATTTTAAGATTTTTTTAATTGAAATATACTTAAGGTTTTAATTAAACACCAATTATCTCTGTTTGAGTTTTTAAGATTAATGGAAAATAGGATCGTTAATGAGAAGACGTGATAATTTTTTGATGAAAAGATATTTTAATCACAATTTCACTGGAGTTGTTAGCTCATCTCCCATCCTTTCCTGAGCCCCCATGCCCTGCTTAGAGGTGCCAGGAGGTCAAAGATCCATAACTTCTTGGGCTTCCTGTTGAAGCTAGGGTCCACTATATTCTCCAGCTGAGTACCAGCTGGGCAAATACATAGTATCTGTATGCAAACATGTCACAACCCCACCTTCAAACACAGGTCTTTGCCTCTATGGTTCCCAATTTTCTCAGGTTGCAAACCAGGGACAGCCACTATTTTGTTCCAGGGGTAGAGGGCGAGGAGAGAGGTTGAGGGTTTAAAGAGACAGTACATCTGGACATGGTGGCCCAGTCCCATAATTGCAGCTACTTAGGAGACGGAGGCAGGAGGATCTCAAGTTCAAAGTTTGAACTACAGTGTGATTTAAAGACAGCTTGAGTACTATAACTTTAAAAAGAGGGCTAGGGATATATGTCAACGGAAGAGTCCTTGCCTAGCAGGCTCAAGGCCCTGGGTTCAGCCTGCAATACAAATCCCCCAAACTAAAGAGCATAAATGAAGCACACATATGGGGCCTGATAAATCAGAGCTAAGCAATGCAATTGCAATAATTGCAATAAAACGACGCTGTTGCTCATGGGTGCGATGGATCCCTCCAGGCATAAAAAGCATCTTAGACATAATATAAAGAAATTCACTTCTAAAGGAATACACAGATTTTTTTTTTTCTTTTTTAAAGTAAATTCACAAACTTCTCTGGTTCTGGAAGCGATTGTCCTAGCAAGGTGGATGGGACAGCGGGGCCATTTGGATGCTCCCCATTTATATCACTTTTCCCCTCCAATGTGCATTCAAGCAGTCCCCTTTCTGCCTCTAAGCACACCTGAGAAGGTCAACCCAGAAGACAGTCTGAGCAAATGAACACCATGTCCCACAATTGCTGGGATGTAACCCCTTCTGAGGTGCAGCCCAGTTTCCAAGGGCCCGCCACCCACAGTCTGGGAGTGAGGACCCACAAGGGAGAGCCTTTTGTGTTCTCTGTTCTCTTCTCCATCCTCCTTGGTTCAGAGAGGGTGGGGACACAGAACCTTCAGGAAGAAGAGAAGCTGAATGTGCCTCCTGGGGGCAGACATCTCTACAGCAGGCTGAACTCTAGACTTGGAAACTCTCCTGGGGAGACTTTTCCATGTACTGACAAGGTCAGGCCACTGCCTCCTTCCCTCTCAGAGAACTTGAACCACTTGACCTTATAGAAGCAGAGTTTCCAGAGAGAGGGACCTGTTTAATGAGTGGCTGATGCTGGATCAAAAGGACTTATTCTCCAGGGGCACAGCAAGCCTCCAATGCTGGGCTTCAGCTTAGCATTGCTTAGGGTGTGCACATGCTCTCTCTCTCCTCCCTTCTCTCCCACCTTCTCCTTTTTCTCCCCTTTCTTTCTCTCTCCTCCTTAGAACCCAGCTTTTGTCATCTGTGTGTGGAGCCTGCCTCTACTCCTCAGAGCTGTGTGTGTTGAAGGAACACCCACAGCCTGGTACACTGTTCCCAGAGTACTGAGTCTCAAGGGACATTAGCCCACGAGGAAGGCCCCGTTTCATCAACAGTTGTCCCTGGTTTCTGGTCAGCATCAGCATGCCCTGGAGTAGGGGGACATGGGAGCCTCTATGCCTCCTGCCCTGAAACCCTGGCCCCGGAACGCTACACCTTGCTTTATTTCGAGTACTCAGTGACTCAGCTTCACCCTCAAGCTTGAGAACCACGCATCATCGCTCTGGCGTCTCTGGACAGATTGCTGCCCCTGGCCCGCACATTCTCACTGAGGTGGGTTCCCACTACTGCCTTCTGGAGCCTGCTTTTGAAAATGAGCCAGATCTCTTTGCCCCCTTCTGTTTTAAACAAAATGATAGCGGAGGCTTTTCAAGCTGCTTCCCAGCAGTTCAGGGAAGCAGAGTGGACGCCCATCCACCGCACAGCCCTCCGTCTCTGCCTTTGCCATAGGCGCTTGGGCTTGAAGGAGGTTGGAGAGGGAAGTGTGGGGATGGGGGGCACTCTTGGGGGAAACCGGCCATCTCTGCTCGGAGTCTAGCCATTTGACACTGCAGTCGACGAAGTTCACACTTGAGAACCACAAGACTGAGCTATGGATAATTGAAAAGAAAAAAAAAGGAAAAGAAAGAAAGGATTCTTTATATTTTGAAGTGTATTTAGGATTTATGTTGGGCTACATGTGCTGGGCTCCTGATTGGACTTTGCTGATCACTGATGAGGAAGTTCAGGTCCCTGACTCGAATTGTGAAGCAGTCTCCTCTTGGTTGAAATACTGTATCTTGGAGTTGAGCTGGGGTGTGGGTAGGGACTCATGAGACTCAGGATCAGAACAAACTTCATCCGGAAAAGCTGAAACTTACAAGATGCCCAAGGCCCCTTCAGAAGGATAGGACAGAGAAACAGAGCTGCTCCGGGTGGAGACTGACCAGCTGGGTTGCCCTGAGGAGATTCTCCAATCGGCCCAGCTGCCTGCAAGTCCTGAGTTATCACCCACCTGCACTGGGGTGGGCTTTTGGACATGCATTTTGGACTTAAAAAGCTACCTTTTAAAGTCTATTCCCCACAAGCGGCCCCTTAGCCCCGACTCCTCTCAGTCACCCAGGTAGAGTCATTGGCTCTTCAAGGTAGGCTTGAACCCATTACATTGGGTTGCTGTCAGTTCCCTCTCTGGGTTTGGGCGATGTTTGCTCAGTCTCCCCAGGCATAGCATCACACAGCACTCATCCACGGCCTAGGGTTGCTTGGGGCTTCAGGGCCACTTGGCCTCAATGAGCTGGAGAGGCCTGTGGTGTGTGGCTCTATGCCCTGGGCCTCACCTCACCAGGGGCGTTTGCAGTTCGAGAATCTCCAGATTGTCCTCACAGTGCTACACAGGGCTCTTTTAGCTCACCCAGGTGTGGCCACATGTGTCTCCCCTCCCTCCTACTCAGTCCTCTGGCCAGAACCAACCTTGCAGGCCAGCCCCAACAGCTGTTCACACCCATTACTCCACATAGCAGGCTTGCAATTAGCGGGCTTTGCCCATTACCCTTTGTAATTCAACACTTCTCTGCACAGCGGGATTTTTTTTTTCTTTTTTCTTTTCTCATCCTGGAGTTAGAATGGGAAAAGGAGTCAATGATGAGAAAGAATGGGGTCTCCAGGTGCCAACTTGCTGGAAGGGCGGATAAACAACATTCAGAGTCCTCCTGCTGTGTCCCTAGGGACAGAGGCTTCTGGCTGGCTGTACAGAGGGGAGGAGGCAGCTGGATCCAGGGTCCTGACATCAGGACCCTCTGCTTTTCCCTGCTAAGGCTCACTCTCTTTGACATTTTCTGCTGCAGAAACCAGTGATAACAAGTGTGTATTTAAGGCATTGGCTTTTGGTGTGTGGTTGTGTTATGCCTCTCTCTGTGTGTGTGTGTGTGTGTGTGTGTGTGTGTGTGTGTGTGTGTGTGTATGAGTGTGTTTCCTTTCTATTTTTTCTGTTGGGACAAGGTCTTATCATGTAGCTCCAATGCCTCTACCTTGCTTCAGCCCTCCTGCCTCTGCCTCAGAGTACTTAAATTACAA